CGAACTCCTGACCTCAAGTGATCCGCCCACCTCTGCCTCCCAAAGTACTGGGATTACAGGTGTGAACCACTATTCCCAACGGAGTGAGAAAATATCATTTTAAAAGACACATAGTACTTACTCATTAAGGCCAGAATCATCAATAGATGGTAATACCATGGGTGAAAGTTTGAATATACAAAGTTTGATATCCTAAATATCCATGGGAAGCAGGTTATTTACATAGTCTCAAAGTATCTCCCCTTTATAGATGCTTGTACATAATAAGTACGTACTTATTAATCATAAGGAGAAAAAATGCTAATGTTACATGGGGAAACCTGGAAGTACCACTTTAAGCCAAGTGATCAAAGTCATACATCACCAGTCATGACACACTGTCTCCTGATGAGATGCACTGAGACCACCACATTCCTTACGTTTGTATTACTTCCAAAAGTATGCAATCTGCATCTAATCATGAAGAAATCATTAGGCAAATCCACATTAAGAGCTACACTACAAAATAAATGGCTCATACTTTTAAGAAATGTCAGTATCTTGAAAGACAAAGGAAGGCTGAGGAACCTTTTCACATTTAAGGAAACTAAAAAGACTTGATGTGTAAATGTAAGGTGCAATCCTGAACCAGGAAAAAAGAAATTGCTGTAAAGGATATTAGTGAGACAATTGTCAAAATTTGAATAAAGTCTGTAGATTAGATGCTCATATTGCATTAATGTCAAGCTCCTTGATTTTGATAATTATAATTTGGTTAAATAAGTGAATCTCTGTGTCCTAAGGAAACATATGCTGAAGTATTTGGGGGTAATGGGTATGATGTTTACTACGTATTCTAAGTGGCTCAGGAAATTTTTTTTATACATATAAAGATAGAACAATAAAGCAAATGTGGCAAGATGTTGGCAATTAGTGAACCTGGGTGAAGTGACCTATTGTTGCAACTTCTCTGTATGTTTGAAATTATTTTTTAAAAAGATCTTCCTAAGTTATACCTGGGAGTGAAATTGCTAGGTCATAGGCTCTGAATGTCTTTGAATTTACTGGCTAGTGCCAAGTGGTTTTCCAGGATGGTTGTGCTAATTACATTCCGTTGTTCCACATCTTTACCAGTACTTCACATTATCAGATTAAACATCTTTATCAGGCTTAGGGGTATAAAGGAGTATCTCATTGTGGGGTTTTTTTTTTTTTTTTTTGAGACAGGGTCTCGTTCTGTCACCTGGGCTGGAGTAGTGCAGTGGCGCAATCTCAGCTCACTGCAACCCCCGCCCCCCGGGTTCAAGTGATTCTACTGCCTCAACCTCCCCAGTAGCCAGGATTACAGGCGTGTGCTACCACGCCTGGCTAATTTTTTGTATTTTTAGTAGAAACGGATTTTCACCGTGTTGACCAGGCTGGTCTCAAACTCCTGACCTCAAGGGATCTTCCCACCTCAGCCTCCCAAAGTGCTGGAATTACAGATGCGAGCCACCATGCCTGGTCTCACTGTGGTTTTAGTTTGCGTTTCTTTGATTATAGTGAAGCAGAACATATTTTCAAATGTTTCATCAGTAAGGCTACTCTTTTATGAATTGCTTGCTATATTCTTAGCCATTTTTAAAACAGAGTTCTTTGACACTTTTAAATTAATTTATGTATTAATATATTCTGGAAATTAATCCTTTGTCAACTAGATACATTGCAGTTACCTACATACTTTTGAAAGATGCTTAACTAAAATATAAAATTGAGTTATATTTTATTTAAGTTACACAGAATACACTAGGTAAGAAGGCAGAGAAAACATTGCACAACAAGTGTGTAGGGGCTGGAGGGCTGGCATTGTTTGCAGATCTCTTCTCTCTTGGCTCAGTCTAGTAATATGGGGCAACTTGAACTTGCATTCTTATCTCTCGCCCCTCTGAAAAAGGTTATTTTTAGGAAGGCTGTCTGTCCCCAGTATATTTCATTCAGAAATTTGCTGAAGAATGTATTCTTCCCTCTTGCTGTAACGAAACTCTTGCACTGCTAAATACTGGCCAGTACTTGGATTGAGTAACGGGCTTTGAGTGGTATTGCAGTGCCTGTAGAGCAAGAGGGTAATTCAGTAGGCACGGTATCGTGGTTCATCCTCTAATACTAATTAAACTTCTTTTGGAGATGGTGAAAAAAGATTAAACCACTTAGACTTGACTTCTGAAAGAGAACTTAGTAATCATTCAAGAACTTAATTTTTTCCTTCCTTCCCTTCCTTCTTTCCCTCCCTTCTCCTCCCTCCTCTCCTTCCTTCCTTCCTTCCTTTCTCTCTCTCTTTCTTTCTGTCTTTTCTCTTTTTCTTTTTCTCTTTCTTTCTCTCTCTCTCTTTCTTTTCTTTTCCTTGCTTCCTTCCCGCTGTCCCTCTCTCTCTTTCTTTCTTTCTTTTCCTTCCTTCCTTCCCTCCTTCCTTCCCTCCCTCTCTCTCTTTCTCTTTCTTTCTTTTCCTTCCTTCCTTCCCTCCTTCCCTCCCTCCCTCCCTCTCTCTCTTTCTTTCTTTTTCCTTCCTTCCTTCCCTCCTTCCCTCCCTCCCTCTGTCTTTCTCTTTCTTTCTTTCCCTCCCTCCCTCCCTTTCTATTTTCTTTCTTTCTTTCTTTCTTTCTTTTTCTTTCTCTCTCTCTCCTTCCTTCCTTTCTCTCTTTTCTTCCTTCCTTTCCCTTCCCTTGCCTTCCTTTCTCTTCCCTTCCTTTCCTCTCTCCCTCCCCTCCCTCCGCTGCCTCCTCTCCTCCCACGTGCCCTCACGTTTCCGCTTCCCTTTCCATCTCATTTTGTCACCCAGGCTGGAGTACAGTGGCATGATCACGGCTCACTGCAGCCTCCATCTCCTGGGCTTAGGTTATCCCCCTGCCTCAGCCTCCCAAGTAGCTGGGACTACAGACACATGCCACCATGCCCAGCTAATATTGGTATTTTTTTGTGAAGACAAGTTTCACCATGTTGCCCAGGTTGGTCTCACACTCCTGGGCTCAAGTGATCGGCTCGCCTTGACCTCCCAAAGTGTTGGGATTACAGGCATGACCCCCCATGCCTAGCCCCTATTGCTCTAATTCTTAAGGTGACTAGGTATAAACTTTGCATGTGGGACAAAAACAAACTCCAAAATACCCATATATCCCAAACCTAAAATCATAAAACATTAGCCCTGTAAGAAAACTAAAATTGTTTCCATTCTCTCAGTTTATAAAAGACATCAGTCATGGAGCTGGAGGCTGTCCTAAACAGGACTTGGCTTTTGACTCCAGGTCCTCTTTCCTTTCTCCTCTAGTTAGTCCTTCCAAAAACTGGACTATTACAGCTCTTTCTACTGATACACATATAACTCTTCCTGGGGATAGGTAATACAGCACTGTCCATTTTCCTCATTGATTTCCTAGTAAACTGAAAATGAGGTGATCAAAAAAGATCTTCTTTCAGGGAATTTAACATCTTAATCACTATCTCAAAAGAAAATATTTTTCTTTGTAGTCTAATGTCAGAAGTAACCTTTTGTGATACACCCCAAAGGAAGCAATGAATGATCATATGACTGTGTATGTAGTTACTCTTTATTCTTTGAAGACGTTCTCATTTTTTGTACTTAGTAGTTAGAACTGAATGACAGTAGTCATTTTTCAATTCATAAAAATTTATGCTGCTTTAAAAATCATTGGATTATTTTCTTGATCGAAAATACAATAACAGTATAGAGAGGAAAATCTAATCCTATTTTCTAGAAATAACTACTTAATGTTTTCATTTTGACATTTTTTCTATGTATAGTAGTTCATAGAGTGAAGCTGTAGTTTTAGATTCTGTCTTTTCTTGATTAACATTATAGTATTTAGTAATGGATGCATTTTATATCATTGTGTGGATTAATTATAATGAAGAATGCTACAGTGAACACCTTTGCCTACATTTGCCTACATTTCTAATTATTTTCTGATGACAGATTCCCAGAATTGGAGTTACTGATCATCAGCAAAATTATCTTCAGTCTTTTCATGCCAAACCAACTTTGACCAAGTTGCTACTACTTCCATACTTGTACAAGTTGAATATGAGAGTACCTGTGTCTTTCAAGTCATTGAATTTTATCATTGAGTAAAATGCTGCTGATTTGCTACTGTAAATAGGCCTTTGTCTAATTCACATTTCTTTTTTCACTAGTGAAAAGTTCTGTGATATTAACTATTAATATTTATTTTGTTTCTGTGAACTTTGCTTACTTTTATGCAGAAGGCTGTGTTTTTCTTATTAAATAATTTTCATATATTAAAAAATCGGCTGGGTGCGGTGGCTCACTGTAATCCCAGCACTTTGGGAGACCGAGGCAGGCAGATCACAAGGTCAGGAGATCGAGACCATCCTGGCTAACACGGTGAAACCCTGTCTCTATGAAAAATACAAAAATTAGCTGGGTGCCTTGGCGGACACCTGTAGTCCAAGCTGCTTGGGCGGCTGAGGCAGGAGAATGGCGTGAACCCGGGAGGCAGAGCTTGCAGTGAGCCGGTGCCACTGCACTCCAGCCTGGGCGACAGAGCAAGACTCGATCTCAAAAAAAAAAAAAATCAACTTTTTGCCATTTACAGTAAATCTTTTGCCATTTTGCTTGCTTTTTGATTTTATGGTTTTTGTCAGGGAGAACAGAAGTCTTTGTTTTTACACAAGCTAGAGCTATACTTGGGGAGAATTATTTTTGTGTGCATGAGTTCTTTGGCTAATGGTACACAGGGAAGAAATCCAAGCAAGAGGATTATGGAGGACCAAAACTCCTGTTTATAATTAACAAAGATCATGGGGTAGAGACCATTTCATGCAGACATAGTGATTTCACCTCTTTTCCCACTGCAATTGTTTGTCTCTTACTTCTGAAGATGGCTGATGTCACCCATTAAACTTATGTACTTGTCTTGCATATTTAACTTCTACACAGTTAAAGTTGCCACTTTGGTCAATTCTTCTGTCCTATGGCATTTTCTTATGTCCTGATGCTTTCTTTTAAGGTATTATCCAAAGAGATGAGTCACCCATGGAAAAAGGGCTCTCTGGTCTACGAGGAAGGGACTTTGAGCTGTCTGACGTGTTTTATTTCTCCAAGAAGGGATTGGAAGCCATTGTGGAAGATGAAGTGACCCAGAGGTTTTCCTCAGAGGAGCTAGTGTCATGGAATCTCCTCACAAGAACCAATGTAAATTTCCAGTACATCAGTCTGCGGCTCACTATGGTGTGGGTGCTGGGCGTCATAGTGCGCTATTGCGTCCTACTGCCTCTGAGGTAAGTCACGTGCCTGGTAATTTGATGATATGCTTGACTCAGCTTTCTTTTTGAATCATGTACATAGTGGCCATATAAGTGTTCTGTGGTGCTTATTCCACCCATTTCTACGTAGGAAATGCTACCAAACATGACCTCTGCAGGAATGTATTAAGTCTCCATTTTCCTTTCACAATTTTTCCCCAAATGAAGTTGTATATTCAGAATCCAACGTGTGTCTTAGAATCTGGATCCACTTTGCTATTAGAGTCCGAGCTAACTTGAGGATGGAGAGAAAAGGGAAGAAGAAGAAAGAAGAAGAAGAAAGAAGAAGAAGAAAGAAGAAGAAGAAAGAAGGAGGAGAAGAAAAAAAACGAAGAAGAAGAGGAAGAGGAAGAAGAAGAAGAAGAAGAAGAAGAAGAAGAGATCATTAACAGTTTCATATTCACTAGAGCATCAACCAGACTGTAAGAGCTGACCAGAACCCACTGCCTTTCTTTGCCAGTCCATTGCACTTCATAAGAGAGAAAAAATTCTTGAGTGTGGTTACACGTGGGAGACAGCCATTTAGAAGTGTGAGTTTGTTCCATCTAATTCATTGTGATCACCTGGGTCCGCTTCTGCTTCTGAGCTTGAGTGCCACCTGCTGAGAAGGCAGTGTCAAGCCTAGTTTATGGAAAGCACGATGTGGAACGTGAGTAGAAGGCACTGCGTGGTGGGATGAAGCTGTAAGTGGCTGAGATCTGATTAGCATGGTGGTAGCAGTAGTAGGCATGTATACCAGCCACAACATTATTGTTGATCATCTTGCTTCATTTCCCTGGACATGGGCTTGGCATCCTCTCAGCAGAGCTTTCCAGGCAGTGGCTACCTGCCAACTAAACTTGGCACATGAGTTGAAATCTTTTTACTACCCCCAGGGTGGCCTGTGCTTGCCTCATTCAGATTTATTACCAGAGAAAGTATTGCTTAACTACAGGCAAATGTAGATTTCTAAGAAATTCTTTCTTTTTTTTTTTTTTTGCCCATATTGCTAGTTCAGACATTGGGGCATAGTATGTCTTTTGGGAATCATTTCAGCTGTGATAGTGAAGCAAAATTCAAGGTTTCACGTACACTTTTGCCTGAACCTTAAACTAGTGCCCCCAAAGTGGGGTTCATGTACTCTGGGAGTGTACAAGACTATCCATTGGCATGCAGGAAGGAAATATTAGAGCTCTTATTTATTAAAAGCTTCTGTTCTGGCTGGACGCAATGGCTCACGCCTGTAATCCCAGCATTTTGGGAGGCCGAGGCGGGCGGATCACGAGATTAAGAGATCGAGACCATCTTGGCCAACATGGTGAAACCTTGTCTCTGCAAAAAATACAAAAATTAGCTGGGTGTGGTGGCGCACACCTGTAGTCCCAGCTACTCGGGAGGCTGAGGCAGGAGAATCGCTTGAACCTGGGAGACAGGTTGCAGTGACCTGTGATCGCGCCACCACACTCTAGCCTGGCAACAGAGCGAGAATCCGTGTCAAAAAATAAAAAAAAGAAAGAAAAGAAAAAAGCTTCTGTTCTCTTTATAACTAGCACTTCCATTTATTCTGTTTTCATTCTTAAAAAGAAAAAGGCTAGGGGCATAGTGGCTCACACCTGTAATCCTAGCACTTTGGGAGGTCAAGGTGGGTGGATCACTTGAGGCCAGGAGTTCGACTGGCCTGGCCAACATGGCAAAACCCCATCTCTACCAAAAATAAAAAAATTAGCCAGGTGTGGTGGTACGCACCTGTAGTCCCAGCTGTGTGGGAGGCTGAGGCAGAGAATTCCTTGAACCCAGGAGTCAGAGGTTGCAGTGATCCAAGATCACGTCACTACACTCCAGCCTGGGTGACAGAGTGAGACTCTTGTCTCAAAAAGAAAAAGAAGTTTGGCCGGGCATAGTGGCTCATGCCTGTAATCCCAGCCCTTTGAGGGGCCGAGGTGGGTAGATCAGTTGAGGTCAGGAGTTCTCTATCAACCTGGCCAACGTGGTGAAACTCCATTTTTACTAAAAATACAAAAATTAGCCAGGTGTGGTGGCATGTGCCTGTAGTCCCAGCTACTTGGGAGGCTGAGGCAGGAGAAATCACTTGAACCCGTGAGGCAGAGGTTGCAGTGAGACACTGTATTCCAGCCTGGGTGACAGAGTGAGGTGAGGCTCCATTTCAAAAACAAAAACAAAAACAAAAAAATACACGAAGCTTTAGTCAAGTTCAATATATGGATTGGTTCATATCCAAGGTAACCTGAAGGAAGAATGAGGAATTCTACAGCACAGTGCTTGAGATGCCCTTGTTTGTTATTGGTTAGCTTTCACCGTCCTGTGGGGGCCCAGAAAATGCTGTTGTGATTCCCTTATCTACTAAACAAATGCTCACAAAGTAGATAAGTGACTTAAAATATTTTTGCAAAGAAACTGATTTAAGATAATAAAGCAGGCCGGGCGCGGTGGCTCAAGCCTGTAATCCCAGCACTTTGGGAGGCCGAGACGGGCGGATCACGAGGTCGGGAGATCGAGACCATCCTGGCTAACACGGTGAAACCCCGTCTCTATTAAAAAAAATACAAAAAACTAGCCGGGCGAGGTGGCGGCGCCTGTAGTCCCAGCTACTCGGGAGGCTGAGGCAGGAGAATGGCGGGAACCCGGGAGGTGGAGCTTGCAGTGAGCTGAGATCCGGCCACTGCACTCCAGCCTGGGCGGCAGAGCGAGACTCCGTCTCAAAAAAAAAAAAAAAAAAAAAGATAATAAAGCAATGTAAACATTTATCACTTCTTGGCCTTTGGGCTAAGATCAAGTGCAGTGATATAAGCATCTGAGAACAAAAAGAAAATGCAGAGTTAACACTCCTACTCTTAGTAGATACTTTTCAGTGTGGAAGAATTGCTTTGTAAATGCTTTTTAAAAGAAGCACCTAGTACAAAATGAACTTTTCAAAAACCAGATTGTATTAAGATAGACTGTGGTGATGGTTGCACAACTCTGTGAATACGCCAAAAACTATTGAATTGCATACGGCGCTATCTTGGGTCACTGCAACCTCTGCCCCCTGAGTTCAAGCGGTTCTTACGCCTCAGCCCCTCCAGTAGCTGGACTTACAGGCATGTGCCTCCGGGCCTGGCTAATTTCTGTATTTTTAATAGAGATGGGGTTTCGCCATGTCAGCCAGGCTGATCTCAAACTCCTGACCTGAAGTGATCTACCTGCCTTGGCCTCCCAAAGTGCCAGGGGGATCTCATTATAGACGTGAGCCACAGTGCCTGAACTGAATTGCATATTTTTATGGGGTGAATTGTATGGCACATGAATTGTATCTCAATAAAGCTCCTAAAATGCAGACTGTGGCTGAAAACTTATATCATCTATGAGAACTCTAACATTGGCTCACTTAAACTGGGATACATAATGTTCTGGCCTGTTAATCTAGCAGGTAAAAAGTTTCAGTAGTTTTGAACCCAATTGTTAAACATGTTAAAATGAAAGTCCTTCTGATTTAATGGACAGGAACAAGTGATTCTCCTTGGGGCAAGATGGCAAAACATTATTTTAAAAGTTTTGCATAATTGATGATGAGATTAAACAATAATTTAGTTATTGCATCAGTAACTGACAAGAAAAAAGAACCTGACCTTCAAATTGCTATGTCAAATCTTTAACAAGATTTAACACCTTATTTAACAAGGTATTTATAGGAAAGCATATTCAAAAAGCTTTCTTCTCGCTCAGAATAGTAATAGTGTTAATTATACTTATTAGCTATAGTAATATATCATGCTATTAAATTATAATTATACGATTGATAACATTATCATTACATACAATTATAATTATAATAAAATTAATAATATGTATTTATTAATATATTACTATATTATCCTATTTTGAGTGAGGACAAATTGCAACATTAATATAATTTCAAAATACTGTATTTTTTCATAAAAATACTTATTTTTTTACATTCTTTATGTTTCCAGATGTTTTATAATGTACATTATATCAGTACAGCATATGCACATTATTCTTAAACATATTGGGATACCTGTTCAGATATGTTATTGATGGAGTGTGTCTCCAACTGGGTTGAGACCACTGCTTTTTACGCTGTTTTTTTTTTTTTTTTTTTCTTTTTTGAGACAGTCTCGCTTTGTTGCCCAGGCTGAAGTGCAGTGGCACGATCTTGGCTCACTGCAACCCATGCCTCCTGGGTTCAAGCGATTCTCGTTACAGGGATGTGCCACTATGCCTGCCTAATTTTTGTATTTTTAATAGAGACAGGGTTCACCATATTGGCCAGGCTGGTCTCCAACTCCTCACCTTAAGTGATCCGCTCGCCTGGGCCTCCCAAACTGCTGGAATTATAGCCATGAGACACTGCTTATTTCTTTTGTTTTAAATAATGTTAAACTGCTATGTTAAATAATAATAATCTTCTGAAAGACAGAATAACATCATGCTTATGAAAATGAATTCTGGAGCCAGACTCCCTGGGTTCAAGTCCTGGCTCTGCTGCTTATTGTCTGTGTAACTTTGGGTAAGTTATTTAGCCTTTCTATGCTCCAATTTTTTCATCTGTAGAATGGGGATAATGATAATATTATTGCCTCATAGAGTCTTGGGGATGATTAAATGTGTTAAATATAAAAGGTGCTTAGAATATTGCCTGGCATACAGTGTTAGCTGTTGCTTTATCATCATCTAATGTAAAACCTGGAATTGGTTAAGACAAACAATTTTATGCTCCAACTATCTGATCAGGAGGTAAAGCAGTAAACGAGCTTCACCCTGGAGAGGGTTACTATTCCTGACCCTTGACCGTAGGCAGTCATTGTAGCTTCCCCAAACACACAGGGTCCTTCTGATACTGCAGTGATGGTCCCCTTCAGTCTTCTTACTGAATACCTCACGCATTCAGCAAAATGTGTATGCTCTTCTGGGAACAGGAAGACATAGATTGGCCTCTGGTTTGATTTGAGAGAGCAATGAGATAATCTAAAGTTTCTGCTTTCTTCATTTGACAAAGATGATTTAAAGAATCTTATTAGTAAAATGTGATTAAACTATTGATTTTTCCTCTTTTAACTAAATCCTATTTATTTTGAAAGATTTTAAGTCTTAACTTTCCTTTTTGAATAATTCTATTTACATTTCTAGAAATTACTACTTTCCTTTTGAAGTCATTGGAATGTATATTAAAAGCACTTTTCAAAAAGAAGGCAATGTCTCTATGGAGGTTAGAGGTGCTATCAGTCACCTTGTTTGCTAACTTCTGAGTTATCTTGAACCATGCAAAGGGACAACAGTTAGATTTGCATTAAAAGATGTCTACATGGTGATATATTTTGGTGTTCTTATTATTAAAGCACCTTTAAATATATTCCCTTCACTAGCCCTCTTAACCTTTTGATGATTATATAGATTTAACTTGATAGTTTTATGAAAATTTCCAGGCCTTCTCTATGCAGGTACAGACTTGTTACACACGTGCCTGTTGTTATTTTGCAGATGGCATCATATTCTCTACTTTATTCTGAAACTTACTTTGCTTTTTGTCTCTCAAAATGCATCGTGGAACATTCTTCCATGTTAGATCTATATAGATTTACCCAGTTATTTTAGTGGCTGCATCATATTTCATCATGTGGATACTCTACAACTTATTTACAATTTTTTTTTTATTTATGAGCTTTTTGGTTACTTCCCTACTATGTGTCAAAATCTTATATGACCCTTTCTTTTCTTTTTCAGGGTTACCTTGGCTTTCATTGGGATCAGTTTGCTGGTTATAGGAACTACGCTGGTTGGGCAGCTGCCAGACAGCAGGTGAAATGTTTCCTTCCATCCAGCCATACATAGGATTGTTTTTACTCTTAGCTGTGTCCACAAAGAGAATATTTGTTTGATTCCTACGTATTGCATCATTATTATTATTATTATTTTTGAGACGGAGTCTTGCACTGTCGCCCGGGCTGGAGTGCAGTGGTACGATCTCGGCTCACTGCAACCTCCACCTCCCAGGTTCAAGAGATTCTCCTGCCTCAGCCTCCTGAGTAGCTGGGATTACAGTTACCCACCACCATGCCCAGCTAATTTTTTGTATTTTTAGTAGAGACAGGGTTTCACCATGTTGGCCAGGGGGATCTTGAACTCCTGACCTTGCGATTTGCCTGCCTTGGCCTCCCAAAGTGCTGGGATTACAGGTGTGAGCCACTGCGCCTGGCTGTATTGCATTAAAATTTATGTTCTCTACTCATTTATTAGAATCCTGCTCACTTACTTCATCTTCATAGTCTTTCTTTGATTTTTTATCATACTTCCATATTAATCGAAAGAAGTGGTTTTTTCAAAGGAGAATTGAAGAAAGAAAATGAACTGAGTTACCTAAGAGAGTCTTATATATTGGCAAGCTCATAAGACCAAGACGAAAGAAGCTTCAGTTTATCTTGTTCAGGAATTTGTCATAATAGCCTAGTGGTTTTGAACTACTTTTCATCAGAGTTATGTCCAGTTCTTTTGGTAGACTTTTATGATCTAATACTAAATGCACCAATGAGACTATAAGAATTGAACTGTACTGGTTCACCAGAATAGAATGCAGTATGCTGTTGTGAAAAAGCACATTAAAACTTTCATTATACTGTTTCTTAAGAGTGCTCAGAATGGCACAATAAAATGTTTCTATTTCCTTCAGCCTCAAAAACTGGCTGAGTGAACTGGTCCATCTGACTTGCTGCCGGATCTGTGTGCGATCCCTCTCTGGTACCATTCATTATCATAACAAGTGAGTATCTGCTGCCAACGTGCCTGTCTTTTTCTAGGTCAATTCAGCATGAGATTGACAAGGAAGCACTGGAAGTGGGTGGGAAGAAGTGGGTGGAGTCAGAGTGCTTCCAATGTGTTCATCTCTACTTCTCAGGGTGGCACAGGCATAATGCACAAAAACACTAAATAGCAGTGTTTGCAGAAAGAATATAATAATAAATATGTAGTTGTGCTCAATAATTGGGCATTTATGGTGTGCAGGCCAGACCCTATGTTTCTTATAGTTCATCCCTATGAGATAGGCACTGTTAACCCATTTTAAAGGAGAAGAAATGTAAGCTTTGGGATTTGTTGTTTAGGGTCACAGTGAATAAGCAGTGGAGTCAGGTTTTGAACAAGGTCTGTCTGATTTTAAAAACAATGAAGTTGACAGGTCTGTAGTGTGGTGGAAATAGGACTAGACGTGGAGTCTGGAAATGTGGTCTCTAGTCTTAGTCCTGTTACTTCTAAAATTCCATAATTGAGCCTTAAAACAAAATTCTGCTTTTCTCTCCCAGAATTGTAGAGAATGAAGGTAGCAAAGGAAAATAACTAGCTAAGTGAAAGGGATTTTGATTGCGTTTGAACTACTTTTCTGTTATCTCAATTTTTTTAGATTTAGCATCATTGTTTTAAGAGTTCTAGGCCAAGCATCTCTTTTTTACTGATTTGGTCTTTCTTTCTCATTTGTAGAAGAGAAACATTTTGCCATTTGGCTTTACCATGTGGTACCAACATAAAAGACCCTTTAAACATTTTAAATTATATGATCTTGCAATTGGACTATGAGTTTTAAAGTGAAGAGTAAAAGAAAACACTCTGGCAGAGGTGCAGTCAGAAGAAACACCTGTAGAAAAGGCACGCTTATTACATAAAGAGGAGTTCCTAACTTCTTATAGAATTGCTTCTAATTTTAAAGAAAATGTGCTAAATAATTGTGTATTTGGTTCTCTTTCTTCTCTGTATAGGCCCAAACAAAACTACTTTGCTTTATTGGTGTCAAAGGCTGGTTTCACTCTAGGGTAGAGATCCACAAACTGAACGGGAAGCCTATAGGCCAAATCTGGCCCACCATCTGTTTTCTGTAAATAATGTTTTATTGGCACACAGCCGTGGTCATTCACAGCCATGGCTGCTTTTGTGTCACAACAGCAGAGTCAAGTAATTGTGACAGGCATTGTCTGGCTTGCAAAGCTTAAAGTATTTACTGTCTGGCCCTTGATAAGAAAAGTTTGCCAACCTCTGCTATAGAAGGAGAGGAGGGAGGAAACTACAGTGAATTTTCTGCATGGATTACCATGAAACCACTAAAAGTGATGTATATGAAGATTAAAATAATATGAAAATGCTTCAGATTAAATAAGTGAAAGCTATGTATTATCAATGTTAAAATCATGGGCCCCCTACCACACTCTCATCATACTGCCTAGAGATCACCTTTTAAAGATGGGCCCATCTACCTCCAAACTTAATTTTTAAAAATATGCTTAAAAAAGACCAGGCACTGTGCTCATGCCTGTGATCCCAGCACTTTGGGAGGCCGAGTGGGGCAGATCACTTGAGGTCAAGAGCTCGAGACAAGCCTGGCCCACATGGCGAAACCCTATCTCTGCTAAAAATATAAAAATTAGCCAGGCCTGATGGCACATACCCTTAATTCCAACTACTTGGGAGGCTGAGGCAGGAGAATTACTTGAACCCCTGGAGGCAGAGGTTGCAGTGAGCCAGGATTGTACCACTGCACTCCAGCCTGGGCCACAGAGTGAGACTCCATCTCAAAATATATATATATATATACACACACACACACACAAACACACACTTAAAAAAATAAGGTGACTATTTACATGCTGTGGCTATTTTAGAAGACTTTGAATTTTCCGTTGTTTGTAATTGCAGGCAATACAGACCCCAGAAGGGAGGCATTTGTGTTGCCAACCATACTTCCCCAATTGATGTTTTAATCTTGACAACGGATGGATGTTACGCTATGGTAAGAGCAGCTCATTGATATTTCAAGTAGTTGCATGTTTTATGGATTGATCAAACTTTTTATTTTGGCACAAATTAGCAAGTTGGTTTTATGTTAGAAATTTGGCTGCGTTATACTATTGTAGCTATATAAGTTATTTGTAATATATTTACATGAGGAATATGTAGTGCAAGAAAAGGAAGGAAAGTAGCCATTATATTTAAGATGGTAAAAATTTAACTTACTGAAATGCAGACATTCTTGAGCTTGATAGTACCTTGTAAAGTTGATTCCATTTTCCTTGTAAAATCCCTGCCAGTGTTTAATAATGTTTGCAACATTAAATTCTTTCTTTTTACAGTTGTACATATCCCCCAGCCACCCATTTAGTTCTTTCTTCCTTCAGGGACTTATATGCAATTAAAAGAAATCTGGCTTTTTAACAAGGATCTAGCAAGAAAAGCAAATATTTATATTAGGTTGCCTTTCTCAGTCCTTGCCCGTAGCCCCAAAAGAAAAGAAAACAAAACAAAACCCAAGAACAAACTACAAAGCCCACAGTAAAACTGTATACCTCAAAACAGCCTTTCATGGGGATGAATACAGGAATCATATTCTGGCTTTTTTTTTTTTTTTCAAATCTGTGTTTTCTGTTGCCCTTGCAAATTTGTCAAGATTTCCTGCATCTCCTTTCTGTGTCAGGTAAATTCTGCAGGATAATTGAAGCTGCATGGTGGTTAAATGTGCCTTCAGTTGGTGTTTGCCTGGACAAGGGTCCTAGAGGATTACCTTCTCATATTTTCATGGTGGTGGGTTGGGCTTCAGGGAAAGTAGATGGATTTTATTTCACTTACCAGTTCCGGGGATTGATAATCATGGTCTGGTGTGTTTTTCTGAGAAGGCATTTGAAGGGAGCCATTCTTGATTAAATGTCGCTGCAAGTAGGAGGGTGGAGAGTATTGGCACGTATGCAGGTATTTGACTCTGCATGGGTTACACAATCATTAAGGGAATTTTGAAGGCCTTTGTAAAAATTTCTACTTATTACCATGTGTTTAATCTGTCTAAAATACATGGTCAGATACATAACTCTTGAACACTACATTTTAACACATTATTAAATTTCTCTAAATACTGAGCTCTTTTTGAATCCAAGGAAGCGTTAGCCACCTTTATGAAAAGACTTATGGGAATTGGTACTTCTTAATATTTTCTTAGGTTAGGAATTAGTTGATAATTATGTACCTTTTTAAAGAAAAAACTAACATGTATCTGCATCATACAAACACAATTTTATGTATAATTTCAAGATGTTTATGGGTCTCCCTAAAGACCGTCCAAGGATCCTCATGTTAACAGCCTTGATAGACCCCCCAGCACAATTCTCAGTGTATGTAACAATCCTTGTATTTATGTGGACAAACACTTTCATGCATTATATTTGACCCTCCCTGTAATCCAATCAGGTTAGGTCTGAAGTTTTATTATAGATGAGGAAGCAGAGGCTTAGGCAACCAATCTGACTGTCAAAGTTGATTTTGTGCTGCTATAACAGAATACCACAGACTGTAACATAATGAACAGAAACTTACTGGCTCACAGTTCTGGAGGCTGGGAAGTCCAATATCAGGGTGCCAGCATCTGGCCATGGTCTTCTTGCTGAGTCATCACATGGTATAAGGCAGAAGGGCCAAAAGCCCAAGAAAGCAAACCCACTCCCAGTGCCATTTTGTAAGGGCATTAATCCATTCATGAGGAGAGCACCCTCATGGCCTCAGTATCTCCCGTTATGCCCCACCTCCCAAAACTGTTGCAAACCATAACACTCCTTGGTCATGGTTTTGTGTTTCAGAAATCATATTCCTCCTGTATTCTGGTCAACAAAGAGTTGAGTATAACCCATTTGTGATCAAGGACCTCAGAACTTTGTTGCCATTTTTCTTATTTTTGGATTGAGTATAACTGCAGTTGCAATATATTAGTCAAAATTTAGAAAAGCATAGTAACTGCAAACTGTCCAATGGGTTGAGTGTAGAAAACTAAGGCTGACTGAATTTAAATTGGAGGTGGCACAAGGCAGATGTGGGATGATATGGTGCCATTAGCCTCCAGACATCATAATTGGCCTCTTTTGACTAAATATAAACTCTGTATCTGAAGAACATCAAAGATCTCTTCTCAGTGACTCCCCTTTTATTAAAAGAAATCTATTGTTTAATTGACAAATAAAAACTATATATATTTATAGTATACAACAGATGTTTTGATAGATGTATATATTGTAGAATGGCTAAATCAAGCTAATTAACATATCCATTACCTCACTCAGTGACTTTCTAGTCTTTTTTTTCCTTCTAGACAAAGACCTCTACTTTTCTAAATTTAGAAATATTTTCAAACTTACAGAAAAGTTGTAATAATAAGAAAATCACAGTAGAGCACCCTTACGCCCTTTATCCACTTTTACCTATTGGCAACATTGTGCCTCATTTGCTTTGTCATTTGCTTTCTCAGGTACTGGGAAAAGCTGTCTTGTTCTATCTCTCCCTATAAAAATGTGGGTAAAATGTTTGTATTTTTAATATATTTATTTTTAAAATTTCTTTTTTTTTGAGACAGCACCTCACTCTGTTGCCCAGGCTGGAGTGCAGTGATGTGATCTTGGCTCACTGCGACCTCCGTCTCCCAGGTTCAAGTGATTCTCCTGCCTTAGCCTCCCTAGTAGCTGGGATTACAGGTACCCACCACCACACCCAGTTAATTTTTGTCTTTTTAGTAGAGACAGGATTTCATCATGTGGGCCAGGCTGGTCTCAAACTCCTGACTTCAGGTGATTTGCCCACCTTGGCCTCTCAAAGTGCTGGGATTACAGGTGCGAACCACTGTGCTTTTTTTTTTTTTTTTTTTTTTGAGACATAGTCTTGCTGTGTCATCCAGGCTGGAGTGTAGTGATGTGATCTCGGCTCACTGCAACCTCCGCCTCCCAGGTTCAAGTGATTCTCCTGCCTCAGCCTCCCAAGTAGCTGGGATTACAGGCTCCCACCACCACATACGGCTAATTTTTGTAGTTTTTAGTAGAGATGGAGTTTCACCATGTTGGCCAGGCTGGCCTTGAACTCCTGACCTCAAGTGATCCGCCTACCTCAGCCTCCCAAAGTGCTGGGAATACAGGTGTGAGCCACCACGTCTGGCCTATATTTACTATTTATTTCTAATATTTACATTGGAAATCTGAATACATCCAACTCTTAAGGTTCTTGCTTTCCTTCAATTCATATTTGTATCTCGCTTTTTCATAGTGAAAATCCTGTTTCCCAAAAATATCAATATGTTTACTAATTTTCTCAATTCTATAATACATCTAAAATTATTTCAGAATTGCTTCACTATTACAGACAAAAATCTAGTGAAAAGAATTCAGAATGTTTTGCATCCAAGATGGAGGGTATGTGGTTAGACACTGTCTGTGTAAGTTTCTTGGATGTTTCCCCCTTCTTTTAATGCTATTCTTTTATTCACTTAAAATACAATTGGGTTCATTTGCTTCAGTTTGCTTTAGTTTGTCATTTGTTCCTTACTGATTTACTTTTATTTATTTTTTGAGTATGTAGGGTATCAATATGTTTCCGAATGTCAAAACAAAGCAGAAAAGGTACACTTATTGAAGTGCTGCTACCTTCCATGTTCATTCCATCCCATTCCTTCCTACTCTTGTAGGTTCATTGACTTTGGTATTTCTTTTTGTAGAGATAAACACATGTATGTGTATTATTTCCCCTTTAGTCTTATACAAAAGGTAGCATACTGCATTTGTTCTTTTGTCTTTTTCATTTAACAATATCTCCTGGAAGTTACTCTTTATCAGTCATAGAGATCAACCTTGCTGTGTTCCCAGCTGCATAGTACTCCATTATTTGTATGTACCATTGTCTGTTTATCTAATTTCTTATATTTGGACATTTAGGTAGTTTCTAATATTTTGCCATAACAAGTAATGCTGTAGTTAATGGCCTTGTGCATATATATTTTCATTTTGTTGGAAGTTTATCTTCAGGATAAATTTCTAGGAGAGGAATTATTGAAATGAAAGATGAATGTATATGCAATTTTGTAGATGTTGCCAAATTTTCTTCCATTTGTGTTGTAATCTGCTGCCTTCTCCCAGGCAATGTATGAAAGTTATCCATAGCTTTATGTCAGAATGTATTGTCAAGCTTTTAAATCTTTGTCAGTGTGATGGGTTTGAAATGGTATTTCAGTGTAGCTTTAATTTGCATTTCTCTAATCTTGACCAAGTTGAAAACCCTCTACTTTTTGAAGTTAGAGGATTGCTAGCACAAGAACATAACTTAAAATTCAAAGGTGCTACTAAAGAATACCTTTTTGCTTACATTTGACCTTTCAGACTCTTTGATCAGACTAAGAACTTCAGTCCATAGAAGGCCAATCTTATCTTTGAGTGGAGAACAGAAATTTGTTGGTACTTAAAAAACTTTTTTTGGACAACTGTGTCTTTTACATTTTTTTTTTTCTTATGGTACTTCTAGGTTGGCCAGGTTCATGGCGGCTTGATGGGAATTATTCAGAGAGCTATGGTCAAGGCTTGTCCTCATGTCTGGTTTGAACGCTCAGAAATGAAGGATCGACATCTGGTTACTAAGAGGTAAGCAGTGAAATTACTCAGAGTTCACTGGAGTAGCATGAAAGCTGATAAATCTTGGCCTTCCTACCAAAGAGGGCCGAGCAGCACTGAGTCTCAAAACTAAAACAGAGCTCTGTTTGCAATTGGATTTTCCTGGCAAATCACCTGTCTTAGCCACATTTTTTTTTTTTATATACTTTAAGTTCTGGGGTACATGTACACAATGTGCAGGTTTGTTACATAGGTATACATGTGCCATGTTGGTGTGCTGCACCTGTTAACTCATCTTTTATATTAGGTATATCTCCTAATGCTATCCCTCCCCAAGCCCCCACCCAACAGGCCCTGGTGTGTGATATTCCCCACCCTGTGTCCAAGTGTTCTCATTGTTCAGTTCCCACCTATGAGTGAGAACATGCGGTATTTGGTTTTCTGTCCTTGCGATAGTTTGCTGAGAATGATGGTTTCCAGCTTCATCCATGTCCCTACAAAGGACATGAACTCATCATTTTTTATGGCTCCATAGTATTCCGTGGTGTGTATGTGTCACATTTTCTTAATCCAGTCTATCATTGATGGACATTTGGGTTGGTTCCAAGTCTTTGCTATTGTGAATAGTGCCGCAATAAACATACGTGTGCTTGTGTCTTTATAGCAGCATGACTTATAATCCTTTGAGTATATACCCCAGTAATGGGATGGCTGGGTCAAATGGTATTTCTAGTTCTAGATCCTTGGGGAATCACCACACTGTTTTCCACAGTGGTTGAACTAGTTTACAGTCCCACCAACAGTGTAAAAGTGTTTGTATTTCTCCACATCCTCTCCAGCACCTGTTTCCTGACTTTTTAATGATCACCATTCTAACTGGTGTGAGATGGTGGCTCATTGTGGTTTTGATTTGCATTTCTCTGATTGTCTTAGTCAGATTTTTAAAAAATGTAATTCTGTAGTCATGGTGGGATATATGATGGGATTAGAAGGCCAATGTATTTATATTGCTGTGACTTAGATATAGTCCAGTCACTGAATCTTCAAAGATAAAAATTACCACCTTTAAATTTGATATGTTCTCACTTGAGTATGAGCAATTAAAAAAATAAATTAGATATGTATATTTCACCTCAAGGAAAAATATATGAAAAAGGAAAAAGATACCACCTTGAAGGTTAAATAATTGATAACTACTTGCTAAATAGATGATTGATTGTTTTCTGAATGATTGTTATCACTTAAGTCCAGCTAGAAGCTGGGCATGGTGACTGACGTCTGTAAGCCATGCACTTTGGGAGGCCATGGTGGGAGAATGGCTTGAACCCAGGAGTTCGAGACCAGCCTGGGCAACATAGTGAGACCTCATCTCTATAAAAAAATAAATAAAATTAGCCGAATGTGGTGGCATATGCCTGTGGTCCCAGCTACTTGGGAGGAAGGATCACTTGAGACCAAGAGGTTGAGGCTGCAGTGAGCTGAGCCTCACTACTGCCCTCCAGCCTGGGCAACAGGGGGAGACCTTGTCTTAAAAAAAAAAAAAAAAAAGGTCCAGCTAGAGACAGAGGAATGGGAGAAGGAACCTTTGGGGTTTAGGGTAGAGTTGAGCTACCAGAAACCTTTGTTAGGAAACAGCTTTTGGCCTGAGGCCTTTAACTGAAGGCACATTGGTTATTGCTTCTATAAACACATTATATTCTTAAGAACATAATGAAAAGTATTTGCTGAATCTGCTTCAAGTTAGAGAAACAATTCCCTATCTTGAGATCATCTGGCAGTGGGACACTGTGGCAGCTGCAGTCTGGCTACCTCAGCCCTTGCCAGCTCTGGAGAGAAGAGTTGGGAATATAGTGTTGGCTGCAGGGAGGACAGGACCTAAGCCTGGAAGAACGTCAGTCTTTCTCAGCTTCATGGTGTACACATGGAAAGTTCAACCTGAATCGTTTAAGGATTGTCTTGTACTTAATGGCCATAATGCAGATAGATCCAGCAACCCAATATTCCCATTTTTCAGATGAGGAAACCTAAGTACATGGAAAAGAGCACAAAGCTCCTGACACAGAGTCTCCAGAGTCCATGTCACATGACTGTCTAGTACTCTTTTTTAAGAACAGGCGAAGACACTGAAAATCACTTACTTTGGTCCAGGCATGTTGGCTCATGCCTGTAATCCCAGCACTTGGGGAGGTTGAGGCAGGCGGATTGCTTGAGCTCAGGAGTTCCAGACCAGCCTGGGCAACATGGTGAAATGCCATCTCTACAAAAAATACAAAAACTTAGCTGGGTGTAGTGGTGCACATCTGTGGTCCCAGCTACTTGGGAGGCGGAGGGCAGATTGCTTAAGCTCAAGGGGTGGAGGTTGCAGTGAGCCGAGATCATGCCCCTGCACTCTAGCCTAGATGAAAGAGTGAGACCCCATCTCAAAAAAAAAAAAAAAAAAAATCACTTACTTTGAAATTTGAGAAATTATAATAGTGCAGCTCTTCTTATACTTTTTTAGAAAGGAAACAACTTCAAATTTATTTCTTTTACCTATATCTCAATTCTTTTCTCCTTATTGCTTCATAATTGTGCCAGTAAAGTGCAAAGAATATCAAAAAGGGCATCCACCTCTCTCTTAAAAAAGGCAAAATTTTGATCCTTTATTTTTTTTCATAGACTAAAAGAACATATTGCTGATAAGAAGAAATTACCCATATTAATTTTTCCTGAAGGTAAGAATGGGCCTGCCTACCGAGCTATAGTTGATAACAATAAACCAGCAAAAATGTGTGAGGAATAGAATTGCCATAGAATTGGCAACCTTAGCCCTGATCTCTGCTCTTACAGGAATGGGATGTCATTCTCTGAGCTATTAATTCCTTGCTTTCTTTTGAGATTTGATAGAAATCATGTTACCTTTTTAATTCAAAAGTCATTTCTGGGTAGTGAACTGAGAACAGAATTGTCCATGGCTTTAAGGGTTGCATGTATTGAAATTATCACCTGTTGAGAGGAAGTTGTACCCATAGGCCCATAGAGTGTTCAGTAGAAAAGTCAAAGCTTGTTGTTAAACCTGCTTAGTTAGAACTATTGGATTACTACTTTGACAGGGTTTGGTTTATGATTTGGTAGTACAATGCCTATAATTTTGATATTTTAAAATATTTTATATCAAAATAATTTCTTTTAAAATTTATTTTTAAAATGACTCCCTTTAAAAATATTCATGCTCCTACCCTCACCCCCTTGCAGGAACTTGCATCAACAATACTTCAGTCATGATGTTTAAAAAGGGGAGCTTTGAAATCGGAGGAACCATACATCCAGTTGCAATTAAGGTAAAACAGATACGTAATAAGAATAATAATTATTATTATAAAGATATTGTATTGGTAATTTTATTTTGGTAGCATTTTAAACTTAACATTTGCAAGAACGAAGAACACCAGTTTTTGCATGTACCAGTCCTCTGCACTTTGCCTCCTCTGCTTTCTCATGCGCTCACTCTCTATCTGTAGATAGATGTATACTGGGTGACTCTGTGCCAGGCGCTGTATTTGCTCGTAGTGTTAAGTGAAACAGTTGCTGTTCCTGTTTTCATCAGCCTTCTAGTTAGTGAGGAGACAGATATTTAATAGTCACATAAATAACTCTTGTTGCTGCACTCTGTGGTTCTATTTAGAAAAGTAGTCAGCTCTAGTCAGACGTGTTAGCTGGCCTGGTTTACTTTTATTTTTTAATAAATTCTATCAAGTGAAATAACTTCTCTTTTTCCTAGAGTCTGATAAAGCTGTTTGGCCTATCACATTTAAAACATTGGGCACGGATGAGAAACTACTTTTAGTTCATAACTGGGATGTATTTTCTTTTCTTTTCTTTTTTCTCAGTATAACCCTCAGTTTGGTGATGCATTTTGGAACAGCAGTAAGTACAACATGGTGAGCTACCTGCTTCGAATGATGACCAGCTGGGCCATCGTCTGTGACGTGTGGTACATGCCCCCGATGACCAGAGAGGTATTCCTTAGCTAACACTTTGTCTAATCAGGTAGAAGCAAGGAGACCTTCACCTGAAGACCTGGGTGTCTCCCTTCTCCATGCCATGCTTTTCTGCTTGCTCAGCAAATGAGTCATTTTTTAAATAATGTATTTAGCTCCCTTTAAATCAAACCATTTTATATTTAGAGACTCTTTTCCATGTTGGTTTTACAATTGCTCTTGGTTTATTGAACCTACAGATATTATCTTGGGTAAGACTAATAAAGAGCGTGATAAATATATGCACATGGTAAAAAATTAAACAATACAGCACTGCATTTTCTTGATAGAACAAATGATATTTGCTATGATTGATTAAGAGTAGAAAGCATTTGAGCTGAAATATGAATCTTATATTTTAAAACAAATACAAATGATTATGAGACGGTATTAAAAACTCGATAAACTAAGATGTTCTTGTAATTTTTTTTTGTTTTTAACCAGGAAGGAGAAGATGCAGTCCAGTTTGCTAACAGGGTTAAGTCTGCTATTGCTATACAAGGAGGCCTGACTGAACTTCCCTGGTAAGAGATCTTTCAGAAGTACTATCACTTTTTTTTGTTTTGTTTTTAAGAGAATGCCTCACTCTTTTACCCAGGCTGAAGTGCAGTGCATGATCATAGTTCACTGTAGCCTCGACTGCCTGGGCTCAAGGGATCCTTCCATCTCAGCCTTCCGAGTAGCTGGGACTACAAGTGCTTGCCACCATGCCCAGCTATTTTAAAATTTTTTGTAGAGATGGGGTATCCTTGTGTTGCTCAGGCTGGTCTCAAACTCCTGGGCTTGAACTCCTGCCTAAGCCTCCCAAAATGCTGGGATTACAGTCATGAGCTACTGTTCCTGGCCTTTTTTTTTTTTTTAACTAAAAAGAGTCACTGGTAATAATGTCATTTATCATTCTAGTTAGTTATAGATGTAGCTGAAAGTAATAGTGGTTTATACATAACAATGGCTTAAGTAAGATAGAAGTTTATTTCTCACTTAAACATAACCAGTCAAGGCTGGTAACAGCTCAATCTGTATTGCTTTACTCTCCTCAATTTGTGCTTCTCTTATGGTCCACGATGGCTGTTCCAACTCTACTCATTGTGTGTAGCAAATGGCTATGAGGAAGGAATTTTTAAAAGGATACACCCATCTCTAAGAGCACAAGCTGAGAGTTGTATATCCCACTTGTACTTGTATCCATTGGCTAGTACTCAAGTCATGTGATAACACCTAGCTGCAAAGGAAGCTGGGGAACGTAGTCATTGTTCTGGGTGGTCATGTGCCTATCTCACATTTAGGGTTCTTTTTCTGAAGAAGAAAGGGAGAATGGATTTGTGGGTAGGGCAGACATTGGGAGGCAAGGGGCTACTTTCAGGCTCTTTCATATTTAACTCTAGCTATAACTGTATAATAAGAAAATTGAACAACTTGAAAGAAGGGAAATAAGTGAAATATTTTAGTTATGGATCACTATGGTTTTAGTTTTTGTTTGTTTGAAGAAGATTGAACGTAGGTGAATGTATTAGTCTGCTTGGGCTGCCAGACAAAATACAATAGTCCCCTGGGATAATGGGGGATATGTTCCAAGAGCCCTAGTAAATTCCTAATACGATAGTACAAATCCTATGTAGACTATGTTTTTTTCTTTATGTACATAGCTATGATAAAGCTTAATTTATAAGTTAGTCATAGTAAAAGATTAACAACAATAACAACTAATAAAATAGAACAATTATAGTAATACACTGACTAATAAAAGTTTTGTGAATGTGGTCTCTCTCTTTCTCAAAATATCTTAATATTTTCCCAGTTTGACTGTGGGTAACTGAAACCATGGAAAGCAAAATCTTGTATAAGGGGGGAGTTACTGTACCACAGACTGGGTGGCTTAAACAACAGAACTTTGTTTTCCCACAGTTCTAAAGGCTGGAAGTTTGAGATTAGGGTGCAGCATGGTCAGTTTTTGATAAGGGCTCTCTTCTTGTGTTGCAGATAGCTGCATTCTCCTGTGTGCTTACATGATCTCTTCTTTGTGCAGGCATGAAGAGAGAGAGTGCATGTTCTCTAGTCCTAGTTTCTTTTTATAAGGGCACTAATCCCATCATGAGTGCCCCACCCTCATGACCTCATCTAACCCTAATTACCTCCCAAAGGATCAGTCTCCAAATAGCACCACATTGGTAGTTAGGGAATTTTGGGGAGGACAAAAACATTCAGTCTATATCAGTGAAGGTTAACTATACCTACATTATAGTGGGAGGTTGAATTATTATTATTATTATTATTATTATTATTATTTGAGATGGAGTCCTCTCTGTCACCCAGGCTGGAGTGCAGTGGTGCAATCTGGGCTCACTGCAACTTCTGCCTCCTGGGTTCAAGCAATTCTCCTGCCTCAGCCTCTTGAGTAGCTGGGACTACAGGTGTGCACCACCATGCCCAGCTAATTTTTTTTGTATTATTAGTAGAGATGGAGTTTCACTATGTTGTCTAGGCTGCTCTCGAACTTCTGACCTCAGGTGATCCGCCTCAGCTTCCCAGAGTGCTAGGATTACAGGCATGAACTCCCTGGCCTGGAGACTGGATTCTTATTTACATACAGGGTGTTAAATTAGCAGTCTGTCACAAAACAGTCTATACTTCAAGTCCTATGCAGTTAATAAAGTTCCTGCTGTTGTTTTTGGTGTTTGAAAAACACTTTGCATGAAAAGTTTATTTGAGGCAATTGTAGCAATGTTTCTAGGAGGAGGATTTGGCCATCTGAGTTAGGCTGTCAGCCAGGAAACCAAGGACCCTCCTGAACCAGCAGAGGATGGTTTAAGGTGTCTGCCCCTAGAAGAAGGGCTGGCTAGATATTATACAGTAAGCATTCAGTTCACATCGTTGATAGGTTCTTGTAGGCTGTGACTTTAAGCAAAATGACTTTATAGTAGGTTCTTGAATAAATAACATCATTTTGTTCCATGTACTTTCTTTATAATGTTGATGAGAAAAAATATTGGGTTTTGTTATAAATCGTTTTGTTTAAAGTTACAGTTTCTAAGAACCTATCAATGGTGTTCAGGGAGGACTTACTGTACTCCGTTATGCAAGGGTGGGGAGTATCACTAAAATATTTATCCATTCACATAGTGTGAATACAACTAATTGTGTCCAGGTAAACCGTTTCTGATATCCATTATGCAAATTAACAAGCCACTAATTTCTACAGTGAAAACTTGTTTCTAAAATTTGTTATGCAAGGACCTGGTGCAGTGGCTCATGCCTATAATTCCAGCACTTTAGGAGGCTGAGGTGGGTAGATCACCTGAGTTTAAGAATTTGAGACCAGCCTGGGCAACATGGTGAAACCCTGTCTCTACAAAAAGAATACAAAAATTAGCTGAGCGCTGTGGCGCACACCTGTAGTCCCAGCTACTTGGGAGGCTGAGGCCTGAGAATCCTTGAACGCAGGAGGTTGAGGCTGCAGTGAGCTGAGATCGCGCCACTGCACGGCAGCCTGGGTCACAGAGCAAGACTCTGTCTCAAAAATAAAAAAATAAAAAAATAAAATTTGTTATGCTAATTAACAAAGCTTGAGAAATCGATGGGCAATAAAGATAAAGATAGCTGAAGCCATTAGTGGCATCTCTGAAAGGCAGCCTTCTGATTAAATGCTGGCTGACCACCCTGGAGTATGAGTTCTGGACTAACAGGGTATATGATTTGAGTTCCATACACCCTGGAGTATGAAACTGACTAGTCCTAAGGCATAGGTTAGGACTAAACATTTGTATTACACTATCTACATTGGAATATGTTAAACTAAATGACAGAATCATAGCATCATAAAACTATATAAAACGACCTTGGTCCACAGATGTCCTATAACCCATGGTCATATGTGCAGCTGGGTTCCTTTTCCTTATTCAGTTTTTAAAACTCTTTACACACCCTTTGTCTTACCTGACACTCAACCCTCCTGCTTCTACCCTGAAGTCAGTGTCTGTAGTCTCAGACACAGAGGAAGGGAAGAAAGCCTTGAGAGGCAAGAACCACCTAGGGGAGTCAGCCAAGTACAGACTCTCCATCAGAGTGGCTGAACTAAATCCGTCAAAAATGATCGTCAGAATTGTCCAATTTCCTTTTATCAGGCCATATGCAATTGTACAATAAAATTACTTTTAATTACCTAGCCTCTTAAAGAAAAGAAAGTGGCCTCATTGCCTTTCTAGATATATCTGTCATTTACCTATTGGATATGAATTAACATATCTAGATTTTTTTTTCATAGATTGAGTGAAAATATAATTTTATGATCTTAAACTGGCTCTTACATATGGCTGCTCCTTTCCTTAAGAACTAAGACCTGCTGCCATTGCAAAGGGGAATTGGGTAAAATTTTGAAGTCTCTAGGGGTGGCAAGTCACAGTTTAAGTGCTTAGGGCAGCATGAGGTTTATTGGGTGCTTGGGAAGGAGAATTGTACAAAATGATGTCAAATTGCTCAAGACTTAAATTTTTGCCTGTTTTGGGCTTGGATCTTGTGAAAGGAGAAAGGCCTTTCTTATTTCTTTAGCTGCCTTACTTCTCACTATTCAGAATTCAGGTAAGTGCTGTTAATAGAAGAAGCTCATTTGGATAAAAGAGGCTTATGTGGACAATTCTGTGGACCTAACAACAAATTATCATCTTGTTTCATGAAAACTTCCCACAACTGACCCCCTGGATGATTTGTGGATCACAGTCTGTTTTTAAGTTGAGGACTTATTGCTGCGTCTTAGATTTGACTCTAGAAGCCAGAGCACTGCATTGGTCTCAAGCAGGTGTCTCTATGGAGGTCAAGTTCTGTCCTCACGGCACTGAGTTCACTGGCTAACCTATGATCATTCATCATCATCAGAAAGCATTTGGTAAACATGCATGCTTAACTAGGTTAAAATTAAACAGTCAGAGTATAAAGTAAGCAAGTTCTTAGCCCATGCTCTCCTAGCAGTTAAAATCTAAAACATTAGATTAGGAGCCAGATAGTGACCTATCGTAGTCCAAACTACTCCCAGCAACTCCCTTGTTTCTTTGTGTGTAATCCAAAGAAGGAAAAGCCTGCAGAGTTCTTATATCCAGACAGGCACCCTGGAGAGAGTTCAAAGATTTACAGATTCTGAATGAAGGAATGCTGCTTACATAGGCACTTCTGGTTGAATGCAACTTGTGATTTTGTTGTTTGTTTTATTCTGAGTCTGTTTTGGAATATAAAAGATTATAAATGCTGGAAATATAGTGCTTTGAATGAAAATACAACTTGTTAAACATAGATAGGGTTATATTTGAACAATGATTTATCTTTTTTAAATAATCATTTATCTTTAAGAAATTTACCCACACATATGCAGTATACCCTTACCGTTTCTTCTGTGTATATTTTAAATTTTCCTATGGTTTTCCAGTAAGACATAGGTAGATTAAAAACCAGTATTTTGTTTTCCTTAAGGAACAATATAGAGAAATAATCCTAGTTTTAATAATCCTTGTTTCAATCCAATTTTTTTTTTTTTTTTCTGTTTTTTTGAGACGAAGTTTCACTCTTGTTGCCCAGGCTGGAGTGCAATGGCATGATCTCGGTTCACCACAACCTCCGCCTCCCAGATTCAAGCGATTCTCCTGCCTCAGCCTCCCAGGTAGCTGGGATTACAGGCATGCGCCACCATGCCCAGCTAATTTTGTATTTTCAGTAGAGACAGGGTTTCACCATGTTGGCCAGGCTGGTCTCGAACTCCTGATCTGACGTGATCCACCCACCTCAGCCTCCTAAAGTGCTGGGATTACAGATGTGAGCCACTGCACCTGGCCAATCCAAATATTTAATACACCACCCCTTAACTTCTAAAGAAACTGAGTTGGAGATATTGTTACTTATTTTAACCAAACATCAGAGAGATTGTTGCTTCCTCAAAGCAATGTATGTTTGGCAAGTGGTAGGGCAGAGACTGAAATCTGGGTCTTCCTGTTTCCAAATCCAGTGTTCTTTCCCTTATTTCATCCCAGCTGCCTAAGCGTCATGGCATCATACAGCATGTTATTATTAAGTTAACTCTTTTAAATCACCGCTGTAAAGTATCTTTTATGTATTTGTCTTTCTGTTCGCAGGGATGGAGGACTAAAGAGAGCAAAGGTGAAGGACACCCTCAAGGAAGAGCAGCAGAAAAATTACAGCAAGATGATTGTGGGCAATGGATCTGTCAGCTAAGAGGACAGCTGACAGCCTTTAGATCTAGAACTAGCCCTTAGAAATGGAATGGCTTTGTTTTCTGTTTTGTTTTTATGATTGTGAATCTTTTCTACAGAATGATTGTCTCTACCTCTTTATGCCAGAGGCAGAACCTACAGGTGCCCTTTTTGGCTTTTGTTGTTGTTGTAACATTAGCCCCATGGATTGTAAGGTGGTTTACTGAGTTCAAACAGATTCTGCTTTGATAAAATGATGGCGTCACTGTTGACTGAATGAAATATTTGTATAGAAAAAGTGCTTGTAAAGTGTGTTTGGAACTCATCGATAGGGTAATTCTCCAAAAATGCCCAAACTCTCTTTTTATAATTAGCCTTGCCACTTTCTTCAGTCACTTAAATGGTGAGATTACACATCAGTGCAAGATGACCATGATGGTTATGGTCTACTGCAAGGTTGAAAGGAATAATGGAGGATTGTATTTAGGAAAAGGGACAACTTTGTGGCCACCTGCTCTGAAAGTCAAAAGGAAACATAAATTAGTGTTATTAGTATGTTGGAAGAGAAATACTACTTTTCTTTTTCACAGGAGTTCTCTGGCCCTGTGAACTCCACCTTGAGCAATGTCACAGATTACAGTTATTTTGCAGGTGAATTAAGCTTCACCAAAGAAAAGTGAGTCAAAGTTAATGTGTGTGTGCATTTATATGTAGGCAGCTCATAGACCACATTTTAGCCAGCAACTGGTAACAAAGAGCTTAGTTTTCCTTGTTTGAATGCTGTAGATCTATACCTAGTACCCCTCCCATCTACTGATTTCTTTGTTTTTATAACCAAACACATTTTCAGATAGAAGGAGCCTTAAAAAAAAAAAAAAATCACATTGAGTAACTTCAGTATGAATGAATGAGAGTGTGCGGAGCTACCCCTCACCCTCCACCCCTTTGTGGTTTATTCCCTAATTTTCCCAGTCTCTTAAACAGAAAAAATGACTGATATAATTACCTTTTGGAAACTGAGCCTTAATTTTTTTTAGGGGGAGAAATAAGTTTTCCCCAACTCACACAGCATAAGCAATGTTTGACAGCAATATAATGCCGTTGTGAACTCCTGAGAGTATGACATCTGTTCTGCTAGCCTTGTACAGAATGTGAAACTGTCTGATGAATATAAATAAATTCTATATTTCTAAATGTGTATTGCATTATTCCTCCCTCCCTTCCCCCCTTTTCTGGTTTTGAGTAAGTTAAATTCTTTTCTATTACAAACAAGAGTTTTTTGTTTTTCATTTCAGTGACATAGTTAGATTTTATTGGACTGGAACAAATGGGAAACAAGAACATGAGCCACTGACTCTCTCCCTCCTCCCCCCGCTTAAATCTTATTTTTTAGTCTAGTTATTTGGACTCTGGCCCTCTGAACTCCACCTTGAGCAATATCACAGATTACAGTTATTTTGCAGATGAATTAAGGCAATTATATCTAACTAGGTAGGCCTAGCATAGCATATATCAGTTTATACTCTTCTTATCTATCTAGCTAGTTGGATTTCATCCCAAAAGAGAACTTGCAAATAGGTTACTCTCATGGCCATCCACCTTCTGTTCTCACTCTCCCTACTTTCCCTTTGTTGTTTGGGGAAATTTTGCCCCACAAACTCTATTAGGAGTGATCTTGACTGAAAATTAGCAAATTCAAATATGTATGTTGGGTGACTTTTTGTCTTATTTTTTCTCAGAAAAAGGAGTGCCTTAAAAAAATTTCTATGTTAATTATGGCATGAATTAATACATCTTATTTCATTAGCTCAGTTCTCAGAAAAGTGTATCTTTCCAAGATCACTGTATTAAAAATAGCAATGCTATCATGTATTCACTAGATAACCTAATAGTGTCTCTATCTGAACTTTTGTCTTCCAGGTCTGATTTACACAACTAGTTTTCAGGTTGCTTGAGGAATTGCCATGTTGTCGAAACCATGTTTTTAGAAAGCTGATATTGCTCAGATTTAGCGTATGCTCCTTAGAACTCCTTTTACGTTTGCTTTCCTTAATATTATTCCATACCCACTTTAGAGATACTGTGTCCAGAGTTTAGTATTCCTGAGTCTTCCCTAATTGTAAGGCGATATGAAGGGAAGGCAGGATTTGGTAGAAAAATCTCATCAGATAAGCTGAGCTTTCATTGAACCCTTGCATACATTCATTAATTTAGCCTCAAGGTTGCCCTATTTTTATTTCAATTCTTTGTCCTGGGGTCATATTTATAGACAGCAGGTCCTAGGAATGCCAAGGATTTCTAAAATATGCCACATTCTGGGACTGGATGAGCAGCCGTGTGTGAAACAGTAAATATACTTGGAGCGCAGGGGAAATAGTTTCAGATGCCACTCTGGGGCAAAGAACAATCTCAGGGGAAGTTTCCCTGCGTCAACAGACTTTCCAAGGCATAGTCACCTTTGTCTTGGTGATTTGCATGATCTCAGTGCCTATGTTGCAGTTTGCACATTCTGTTGATATTTTAACGTACATGATAAGGGTTGTTGGTTTCTTGTGAGTACAAATAACGTATTGTAGTCATGAGGACTGCCTCTTGGCCAAAGCTGCTCTCACGTTTTTTTTTCCTTCAATATGGCACTATTGACCTAAACTGCTTCATGATAGAAAAGGGTAGGTTATGATGGGAGGATAGACCAGGGGTGGAGGTGGGGTGGAGGGAAGTGGGGAAGGGTGTTGGGGGTGTTGGGGGCAAGGCTGGGATCTGGGATTGATACTGCTAGGGGCCCTAATAAGTATCTTCACAAAAGCTGTGTGTTTGCTTTTGTTTTTTAACAGCTGTTTCTAGTGGATTGATACTAGATACGATTTTTTAAAAAAATAGTGGTTAAGATAATGGGATTAAAGGGACAGAGAGTCATAAAACAAAACATTTTCTTTATTTTTTCTTTTTTTGTTTTTTGAGATGGACTCTCTGTTATCCAGGCTGGGGTGCAGTAGTGTGATCTCGGCTCACTGCAACCTCCGCCTCCTGGGTTCAAGTGATTCTCCTGCCTCGGCCTCCTGAGTAGCTGGGATTACAGACATGCGCCACCATGCCCGGCTAATTTTTGTATTTTTAGTAGAGACAAGGTTTCACCATGTTGGCCAAGCTGGTCTCAAATCCCTGACCTCAGGCGATCCACCCGCCTTGGCCTCCCAAAGTGCTGGGATTACAGGCGTGAGTCACAGCACCTGGCCAATTCTATTTTTTATTACACATTCCTTTTTTAATGATCAGTACATATTTATTATTATTACTACTGCTGTAAGCAAGCATTGGAGATTGGCTCATAATGTCTTCTACTTGCCATATGTCTTTATTAGCTCAGTTCATATTCATACCCCTTTTTATAGGTGATGGATGGTAACTTCTCAATCCTGTGTCTTTTCATTCAGAATCAGCACTTGTTCTCCAATAAAATAATTTCAGTCATCCACAACATTGTCTTGCAGGCCTATTTTTCAAAATTGGGCAGTCTAGGGAAAGGGCTTTCCTTTGGTTTTGTTGTTTTCTTTCCTCATGTATAGTGACTGTGCCCAAAATGTAAGGAAAATCAAGAAACTGCAAAAGATATCATCAGCTATTCATATTAAATGTAAAACACTAAGTAATATTTAAGTTAATTTGTGGCTTGTAAAAACTTTGGAACGTTATATAATGAACTAATGGCACATAATTTCTGAGAGTTTTAATTAGACTGTTGGTATTTGCAGCATCAGCCTTAGCATACCTATTTTTAAATTATTAATTGATAGATAATTGTGCATAATTATGAGGGATAGTGTGGTATTTTGATACATGTGTACAACGTGTAGTGATCAAATCAACATAATTAGCAAATCTATCACCTTAAACATTTACTGTTTCTTTATATTGGAAACATTCAAAATCCTATCTTCCAGCGATTTGAAAATATACAAAAAGTCAGGCATGGTGGCTCATGTCTGTAATCCCAGCACTTTGGGAGGCTGAGGTGGGTGGATCACCGGAGATCAGGAGTTCGAGAGCAGCCTGGCCAACATGAAACGCTGTCTGTACTAAAAATACAAAATTTAGCTGAGCATGATGCCGTACACCTGTAATTCCAGCTACTTGGGAGGCTGAGGCAGGAGAATCACTTGAACCTGGGAGGCGGAGGTTGCAGTGAGCTGAGATCGCACCACTGCGCTCCAGCCTGGGTGACAGAGTGAGACTGTCTCAAAAAAAAAAAAGAAAATATACAATAAATTGTTAACTCTAGCCACCCTACAATGCTATATAGAACACCAGAATTTATTTCACTTATCTGGTTATAATTTTGTATCTGTGAACCAATCTCTCCCTATACTCCCCTTCCTCCTACCCTTCTCAGCCTTTAGTAATCACTATTATACTCTCTACTTCCATGAGATCAAATTTTTTAGCATCGACATATGAGTGAGAACATGTGGTATTTATCTTCCTGTGCTTGGCTAATTTCACTAACCACTACTGTCATCCAGCCTCAGCCACGTTGCTGTGAATGACAGGATTTCATTCTTTATATGGCAGAATAGTATTCCATTGTGTATATATACCACATTTACTTTATCCATCCATCTGTTGATAGACACAGATTTATTCCATATCTTGGCTACTGTAAATAATGTAATAAACATGGCAATGTAGATATCTCTTTGACATTCTGATTTTCTTTCCTATGGATAAATACTCAGTACTGGAATTGCTGTGTCATATGGTGGTTCTGTTTTTAGTTTTTGAGGAACATCCATACTGTTTCCTGTAACAGCTGTCCTAATTTACATCTTCATCAACAGTGTATAAGAGTCCCCCTTTCTCTGGACCTTTGCCAGTGTTTGTTATTTTTTTTGTCTTTTTTATGATACCCATTCTAACTGGGGTGAGATGCTATCTCATTGTGGGTTTGATTTGCATTTCCTTCATGATTAATGATGTTGAACGTTTTTTGTAAACTTGATCATATACATGTCTTCTTTTGAGAGATGTCTATTTAGATCATTTGCCCATTTTAAAATCAGATTATTATTATTATTATTTTGCTCTTGAGTTTTTTAGTTCCTTGTATGTGCTGGATATTAATCTCTCGTCAGTGGCTAGGTGCAGTGGCTCATGCCTGTAATTCCACCATTTTGAGAGGTGAAGGTGAGAGAATAGGTTGAGGCCAGAAATTTGAGATCAGTCTGGGCAACACAGTGAGACCCTGCCTCTACAAATTTTTTTTTTTTTTTATCAGCTGGGCATGGTGGTGCATGTCTGTAGTTCTAACTACTTGTAAGGCTGACACAGAAGGATCACTTGAGCTCAGAAGTTTGAAGCTGCAGTGAGCTATGATCACTGCACTCTAGCCTGGGTGACAGTGAGAGCCTATTCAAAAAAAAAAAAATTCTCTTGTTGGATGATTAGCCCACAAAAATCTTTTCCCATTCTGCAGGTTGTCTCTTTAATCCATTTATTGTTTTCTGTGCTGTGCAGAAGCATTTTAGTTATATATGATTCCATTTGTTTATTTTTGCTTTTTTCCCTATACTTTTAAGGTCTAATTCATATTTTTTTTGCTCAGAACAATGTCCTGAAACATTTCTCCTATTTTCTTCCAGTAGTTTCATAGTTTTGGGTTTTTAAAGAAGACAAATGTCCTGAAATATTCCCCCTATTTTCTTCTAGTAGTTTCATTGTTTTGGGTTTTTCATTTAAGTCTTTAATCTGTGTTGAGTTGATTTTTATACTAAGGATTTAGTCTCATTTTTCTGCACATGGATACCTAGTTTTTCCAGTACCATTTATTGAAGATACTGTCCTTCTCATTGCATGTTTTTGGCAGCTTTGTAAAGAATCAGTTGGCTTTAAGTACATGGATTTATTTCTGCATTGTCTATTCTGTTTCATTGGCCTATTTTTTTTTTTATGCCAGTATCATGCTGTTTTGGTTAATATAGTTTTGTAGCATATTTTGAAAGTCAGGTAGTGTGATGCCTACAGCTTTGTTCTTTTTGCTAAAAAATGATATGGTTTTTGTTTTTCATTCTGTTGATGTGATGTATCACATTTATGAATTTACATATATTGAGCCATCTTTGCATTCCTGGGATAAATCCAACTTGATCATGTTGTATATTTTTTATGTGCTGTTGAATTTGGTTTGCTAGTATTTTGTT